TGATGTAAAGAAAAAAGACCTTCAAAAGCTACTCGACGATTAATCAATCACACAGTCGTTAAAACATTAGCTCGATTCTCCACATCGATGAATCCGGTTTTGGTCTTTCCCTTCTATGCGTCTCTCATGCTAATGTTTAGACTATTTCTCATAGTTCTTCTTCCAACACCAGCATTTCCCTTTTGCATCATCTCCACAAACTCGCCATAATCAATCTTTCCGTCCTGTTCGGATCCCAACATAAGAAAATCCGGAAACTTTTTAATCAACTACTGCCTCGACATTAGTCTAGAGAAGAATGTGGAAGAAGCTTACATTGTTTTGATCAACTTCCTTGATGATGTCTTCGAGGAAAACATCAGCCATACCATGTTCAACACACGCTTGTTGCAGCTCATCGATTGTTATGTAGCCGCTTCCGTCTTTGTCAAAGTATTGAAACGCAGATACAAGATGCTCTTCTCGCTCGAGTTTGTTGAGATGGATCGTCGCTGCAATGAACTCACTGTAATCTATTGTCCCACTGTTGTCCACATCAGCCTGTCAATACAAAAGGTCGGTGTTAGAACGGACAATGCTTCATTTTCGGTCTTTAGCCAAATAAGCTTCGATTTTACCGCATCCATTAGATCATGGATCTCTGTGTCTTTCAAGGTCGATCCATATTTCCTCAGCCCGGCTTTGAGTTCATCGAAAGTGATTGCACCACTGTTATCAGTATCCATCGCTTGAAACATTTCTCTTAAACCCGCAATCTCTTCTTCCGAGAGGCTCTCAGCGATAACCTGATGACCATAAAACAAAGAACAACAACACACACAGTTTCATGAGAAGTGATGCAGAGACCATAGAAGATAAAAAGGTTTTTATGCACAAACTCACTCACCTTCAAAGCCATCTTCTTTAGTTTATTCATTGCAGAGAACTGTTTGAGACGAGACAAAACAGCCGGATCAAGTGCTCTATCTGGTGCAACACCATTCTCGCATATCCATGGATGACCTGAAAAAAAGAGAAACAACACAGAGATATAAGACTAATGCTTGTGTGGTTATTACCAAAAGTAACCACTTATGTCAAGATAACTGAATACATACGCAAGACTTCATGAGCGGTCAAGCGATCTGCAGGCTTGGAGGTTAACATTCTTCGGATCAAGTCTTTAGCACTGTCCGATATCACAGGCCATGGGTCTGACTCAAAGTCGATATATCCCTTTAACACAGCATCAAATATCCCTTGCTGTGTTTCTGATTCCAAACAAAAATGACAAAACAAAACACATTTCAGGCGACTTCGACTTTCGAAAAGGACTAAGAAACAAGCTAACGTGGCAACACCGATCACAATTACCTGCCCAGAAAGGCGGGACTCCGCTTAGCAATATATACAGTATAACACCAGCAGTCCATACATCAGCTTCAGGGCCATAACGTTTGAGCAGAACCTCAGGAGCAACATAATATGGACTTCCAACAACATCAGTGAATATTTGACCTGAATGGCAAAAAAGAAGCAGCAGTCTAATTAGGAACAAGTTCCCACATTTTAAGCAACCATTAACTTAGCTTCAAACATTTTACCTGGTTTGAAAAAGATAGATAGTCCAAAATCAATAGCCTTGAGGGAGAAATCATCATCCTTATTAACCAACAAGAAATTCTCAGGCTTCAAGTCTCTATGCATAACACCGAGCGAATGACACGCTTCAACAACACCGACAATGATCTTAGTAAGCTCGGCGGCTTTCCTCTCGCTATAATGACCTCTCTGAATAATCCTATCAAACAATTCACCTCCAGCACAAAGCTCCATGACAATGTGAACATACAAAGAATCCTCATAAGCTCCTTTAATCGTCACGATGTTACCGTGGCCAGCTAAATGATGCATAATCTGAATCTCCCTTCTAACATCCTCAACATCTTCCTTAGAGATCAATTTCCTCTTTGATATTGACTTACACGCATAGTCAACGCCTGTAGCAAGTTCTGTACATAGATAAGTTGTTCCAAACTGACCTTGTCCTAACTTACGACTCAGAGTATAGAGATCACGAATGTTTGGTGTTTTATGACCAAGAACATAGTAAGCTTGATTATCCATGTTACGCCTCATGATTGGTTCTCTTAAAGGAATAACAAGAGCTGGATTTTTGTTGCTGTCGTTGTCTTTGGAGAATTCTTGAGCAGTAATGTCTGAATCGTTGTTGTTGTTGGTCGGAGAATGGTCGGAGACAGAGCGATCTGAAGTGGTTTTGGAGTTATCTTCAGGCTTAGAGTTGTTATTGCCTAGGTAGAATTTGTCCTTGAAAGATCCACGACATGAATTGCCCATGAAACAATGGAAATTTACCAAATCCTAGTTTAAAGACTGAAACTTTCACTTTTTTATGTTCTTCATCAAACGAACTGTTCATAGGTATCTTCGAAAAAACTCTGTTTAAAGAAACAAGTCAAAACCCTTGAAACAGACCAAATCCAAGAAGCTATAAAAGAGGAAAAAGTAAGCAACTTTAACAATCACAAGTAAGTAAATCACAAAACCCACATCAGATCAAACATCAAATAGTCAAACTAACAACAACAAAAAAAGAGAGCGAAGTTTCGATGGATCTTTCAAGAAGAAACAGAGAATGAAATAAAGCAAGAAGATTGGGAAGAGGATCTAGTTACCAGTTAATCAGAAACGGTGAAAGAGAAGAGTGAGATTGATGAATGGATTAGGAATCTGTTTTAAAAGGGCAAAAAAAAAAAGAGAAATTTTGGAGAGACAGGAGAAAGTAGAACAAGAAAGGAAAGCTACAATTTTTAATACTAAAAAGACAGGTTTATTCGAGATTCAAGTATAAAAAAATAAATAAAAATAGATTTTTTTAGTTTTAGTTTTGTGAGAGATTGGTCGGGGAATTAGATTCGTTGGATCAGATTATTCTTACGGCGACGATTGTGCGAACAAAGTTCTTATTAGTGCTCAACAGCTACTTTTTTCTGACTCTCTCTCTATTGACTCGGTTTCCTCTCACCTTCTTCACTTTTGTACTATTCTATTATTATTACAAATCAGTTCTTGTCTTTATATTTTTTATATTTTGGTAGATGAGAAAATTTAATTTTGTGGGATGAACAAAATTGGAATATTCGAATTATAAGTTGATGACCCACTGAGACAAAGCCTATTTTTTTTTTGTATGTTGTCCTTTGATCTTGAATTGATTTATATCTAGATTTTGGATTAAGATTTACATAAGTAGTGAATTATGTAACTAAACCCTATTTCGGAAATATTATTCTTTTTGTAAAATGGGGTCAAAATTACAGTGTTGGTGAATGCAAAAGCAAAATTGCATGGCTGGAAATTGACATGTCTTTTTCTCTTTAAAATTATTATATTTATTTTATAAGGCCGAATAAACCATATTATTATTCTTACAAGTTTACAATATTATTCACCAAAATTAGTGATTAAGGTAAGCACGATGGTAAATCACACTTGAGTCCACGGCAAGGAGTTTCGATTCATCTAAACGCCACCGTTCCGAGATAAAGGAGACCTAATGGTTAGAGAGGCCCACTTGTAATGAAAGGGAGTCAACTAAACGGCTAAGTTTCAAGATTATCTCTTAATTACCGACATTTCTCGTAAATGCACCTGGTTAATTTTCCAGTATTAGCCAACCATTCTTAGTCTTCCATGGACGCTAATTGTAGGGGTTAAAATCCACTTGCTAAGAGTCAACTGCTATAATTGGCTAAGTATGAAAGAGTTAAGGAAACCTGCAGAAAATCTTAACGAAACCCACGACTAACCTTATCCGGAGAGTTAAGAAAACTCGCGGTAAACCTCAACGAAACCCGCGGTAAACTTAACGAAACACGCGGCTAACCTTATCCGGAGAATTAAAGAAACCTGCGAAAAACCTTAACTAAACTTACGGTTCGGAGAGTTAAGAAAACCCGCGAAAAATCTTATCTGAAGGGTTAACCCGACCAATGGCTAACCTTATCCGAAGGATTAACCCGACCCGCGGGACATTGAAGAAGAAGCAACGGGTCGAGCCATCAGATAGTAGGCCAAGCCGTGAAGAGAAGCCCATAACACATAGCCGACTCCGCGGAGAGAGAATCCCAAAGAATAAGAAAGCTTTCCTTATCTCGTTAGCAGTAGTCCTAGCCGCGGAGTATCTCTATAAATATCATTGTGAACCCTCTATGAAAGGGATCCGCAGTTTTTTACTTAACAAAATTCTTGTACTCTTAAAGTTTAACGAAAATAACAACAAAATCTATGTTCTCATCTTTTACTTTCCGTGATTCAAACTTAGAGATCTCTGTTCCTCAATTAACCCTAAGCAAATTATATTGTTCGAGTTTCGACTCCCACACTAATAAGCGCAGAACATATATCTTAAACTTTAGTAATATATGAAGAAATTTTTTGTTACATCCAAATCAAGTTTTATTCTATCGATATCCGGTTGTGTTTGGGAATAATTTTTTTTTTTCTGGTCATTATGTTTCACCGCATGCGGTTATCAGAGGAATCCATCATCCTTTTAAGTCTAAATATATGGTCGAATATTTGTTCCATAAATTTTATAAAAAATCATCAAAAAATCGAAATCTAACTCAAAATTGATAATATTTCACGAAACAAATATTTTTTAACAAGTCTCTTGCTAATGTGAATCGGAGAGGAAAAATGAAAAGATCTTTGGGAAGTGAAATAAAAAAAAAGTCCATTGTATTTGAGAAAAACGTGAATCGAGAAGTGATAAGTTTCACAATTTTTTTCAATTCAAAACAATCGGAATTAACTCATGTCTAATTGAAATTTCGATGTGGAACTCCGAACAAGTCAAGAAGAACCTCTTAGAAGAGAACGGAGATGGAAAGCTAATTGTGCCTTCCGAAAATGTGAAACCAAGAGGGAAAAATGTCTTTGAAAAGAAAGAAGAAGTTGTGTCTCCTTATGCCATGGTGAGGAGGGAGACAAATTATTTACCACCCGACTAATGTTAAGGATAAGTGTAGCAAAATAGCCACTCACCGGATTTTTTAATGGACATAAAGCATGACATCATTTCGAATGGTCAAATAGAAGTGAAAGTGTTCCTAGAGAGAATCGAACTTAAGTTGGAAGGATTTATCTTTTTTTCTCTGAACTTTTTTACCACTAGATTACCATTACTTGGTTTTTTTCTTTCTAATGTTATTAGCTACTATGCAATGAAAAATATCTAATTAAATTAATGTTATTAGCTACTATGCAATGAAAAATATCTAATGAACAAAAATGTTGCGGTTTCTCCTCATACTACGGAATTTAAGCTGCAATGATGATGAGTTGATGATGTAGACAGAAGAATCTTATATATTCGCATTCACATGTAGACACAACAAAATCTTATGTGTTGTGTGCTGTGTAGTTCAATGCATAACCGCTTATTCTACGTTCATTTTTGGACAGTATTGTAAAAGATATGAAGTCATAAATACTCTCATAAACCAATTTAGATACTTTCTCTATGTTCAAAAATACATATATGGTAATCTCTACGGTCAAATACGTGAACTTTAACAACGACGTGTAACGAATATATCTTTGATTTATTACACATTAAAGTCTTGCGTGATGAATGTACAATTTCAGAAAAACCAATAGCTGTAGTCACATGATTTTTTTATTTATTTTTTGACAAATTTTGTTAATGGCTAATGCTATATTCTGGTATTCGATTCAAAAGATATGTGTGTACTAAACTATTTTTTTAACATCGGATAAATACTAGTAAATAATATACTTTATTGAATTACAGAATAACTCGTTTCAACTTTCAACCAATCAAATTTGGATTTTCTAGTTTTTTTCTATTTATTAAAAAAGAAATAAACTAATACGTATACCATAGTTAGAACTTAAAACTCCAGAAATACATCATTCGGTCCAATGACACTGAATTATTCAAATATATTGACACAAATCCATTGATTTGTGTCACGAATGCCTTTTTTTTTTTTTTAATATATTGACACTAATACGTTTTTTTTTTGTTACCACGTTAAACGAATTTTGCAGTATATATTTTATTAAAAGAATATACGAACCAATATAAATTTTGAATGCCTTCTTTCTTTTCTTTTAATTTGCAAGAACAATAATAAAAGTGAAGAAATAAAGTACTATTTCATATTATTGTAACATACGACTCACGATTAAACTAAAGTTAAAGTGTCTCATTGTGTTTGGACAATATTCTCAATTATTGCAAATTTTTTCTTTCTTGATTAATTATGTAAAAGTTGAAATGATTTGAAGATGCTTTTCGGATGTAAACAAATCTAAAAACTTTACTTTTCAAATAACTTTATTTTCAGAAAACTCAAGTCCAGCTTGCATATAATCCCATATAAACCTAAGATTTTTTTTTTTAAAACCAAATCCATCTTAGTTTCATATTTACAAAAAAGTACCAACCTTTTCTCCAAGTATGTCGACATGCCAAATTAGGAGATGGTAAAATACCTTTTTTACCCCCAAGAAAACCCTAATTAAAAAGACTTTCACTTGTACTACATGAGTGTCAAGATGGTAAAGAAGAACATGTCGGAGAAATTTGAATTTATTAACGGTGAGAATGAATGATGTACAAACTCGTGGACCCAAATCAAAAAAGATTCCAAATTTTTATATTATTGCTCTGTTTTTTTTTTAATTCTCTAAAAAATTCTCTACGCATACTCACGAGAGAGAAGAGAGAAGCATCTGCGTGGTGTGAGAGGACAGGAGCAAAAGGGCAGGTGTCACTAATACCATAGGCTCTGTTCATAGTTAAAAGTATATATTTTTAATCTCAAATCTTTCGTTTTCTTTTGATTTTGATTTTTTAACCCAAAAAGATATGATTTTTGATTGGTTAGTGACACCATTGAAGCGGCTCGTCACTGATACTGTGGCTCAATTCTGCCTCTGTATGCAAGTTGCAAACCCTATTTTTCCATCTCTCTGTCTCTCTATCGC